AAAAAAAAAAAAAAAAAAAAAAAAAAAGAAAAAAGTGATAGTGTCTATTTCCAAAATAAAAAAAAGAACCTTCAGTTAGCCTTTAAAACATTAACACAAAATTCCATACAACCCTAAAAATTCTGGGACTAATGGCGATATCCTCTACTCAAATTCTACAGATGAGGAAGTAAAAGGATAAATCACCTGCCCCTTAGTGGTAGCTGGAAACCCAAATCATCCCTAGCTTCAAACTTTATGGAGCATTTTGTAAACATGGTATGAGTCACCCTCGATAATCACTTTCCTAAAATGAATGGTAGCATCACTGCTATTCCGATGTCCCCCAGCATCACAGAATTTCCAAAACCCTATTTTCTACTGTTTCAAATTAAACCTAGTAACTACATACTTTTAAAAAAATCTCGGGGGTGGGAATTTAGCTCAGTGGCAAAGCGCCTGCTTGGCAAGCGCAAGGTTATGAGTTTGATTTCTGGTGCCAGAAGAAGAACAAAAACAAAACAAAACTATCATCTCAACAACTGTTAATTCAGGATATAAACTACTGTCTTCCTCCAACATATGGTATAATTTTCCTGTTAGTAAAACGGTAAGCTAGGTATGGTTCAGAATTAAAAACAAAATACAAAAAGCTCACAGCTTCTGCAACAACTCTGATTCAGCCTTGCCTTAAGACCCTATGAGGTGATGAGCTGCAAAGTAAAAAATCATTATCTTTTCTCAGAGGCTTTATGAACTAAATTCAGCCATCTTCTATTAAGCCAAGCATTAGATTTGCGAAAACACTTAAAACAACGTTAACCCTCCTCACTGCTTTATTGTTACTTTGGCAAATATTTTTCACAATATATTAATCAAAATGTTTAATGAACTTTTAAAATTAGCATTTAAATGCTCTTGATTTTAATCTCTAATATGGTAAATATCAATAAATATAAGAACATAAACAAAAGTTATTTAGGGTCCTCTAGTAACTTTTTAGTGTAGAAAGGTCTTGAAACCAGAAAGGTTGAAAACTGCTACTGAACACGCTTAATGACTTGCCGAAGTCAACTAAATGATGGCAGAGCCCTGCCAAAGTGGGCAGTGGTGAATGGCACATTTCCTTCCCATCTTTTTTGTTTATAGAGGAAAAAACGAGACGCTGTACTTTCAAGCGTGATTACTTGGTGAAAACCACAAATAAACTACAGACCACATGTCTCACCATGACTGAACCCAACCCTCACACCAGTACAGAGTCATTACTATACAGTGAGCACTCAGTCGTCATGTGCTGAGCGTATAAACGAATACAACACATACTCAGAAAGGAAAAAATACTTGAAACAAAAAGTAAAAATATGAAACAGCAGGAATCTCATTCTTGATAAGTTAGGGCGAGGCAATTAAGACAAATTTAATTAAACATAGTCATCTATCTAGAGAATATATTTACTTTTCAGTATCAATAGAATATTTATTTAAAACATTTAGCTAACAAAGAATATTTGGTATTTCAAAAACCTAAATCACAAGCATTAGGTTTGTTAGTAAAGAAAAAAGAGATGAGGGAACATGAAACTCCTCAGAAAGTAGGACCACCAAAGGAAAAAGAAAGAAAAGGAGAGAAAAGCCCTTTTCATTTAGTACTAAGTAACTTTTGCTTCAAAGACTCAAAAACTTGGGATTAAAGACTATTAAGAACCTAATAATGAGAATTCTGTACCTGCATAAGTTGGCTAAGCATACTCATTATTGAGTAAACCAAGCTACAACTTAAGTAGGAAAAAACAAGATTAACAAAAAGAAAATGGAAATCAATTAAGAAAAAAGAAGTACAAAAAGAAAACAAAAGCCAGAGGCAGGAAATGCACAATTACAGTCAATAAACAGAAAAGTTCCATCACATTAATAACCAAAACCAAATTTTGATGTCACATATATCACTAATCCAATATACCGCTGGACTAGAAAAGACTGTTTTGGACAATTCTGGGGGCTGACAAGTATAAGGAGATACACTTTCAGAATGAGAATATCAGACGATTAAAATTTGAGGGTAACAAGCCAAAACACCTTATAAATTTTAAGGGGGAGCATTCAAAACAGTATTACTACTGGTAAATTATTAAAGAAACTAAGTGAACTAGACTTTCAAATAGGTTCAATAAATAACATGTCCAAAATTTTGGCATTGTTCTTTCACCTCAACATGAAAATGATCTTTAGTTCCAACAAGCTGAATTTTATCATCCAAAAAATTGCTTCATCTTTGAAACTATGTGACCATTCAACCTCATATTCCTACCAGCTCTCAACAACTGTTCACTGTAATTCATCCTGAACCTCTTGATATTCTGGTTCCAAGTCTCTACTGCACTTTCAATTCTCCCTACTGCTCTACTCGCTTAACTCTGCAGTTCCTCCTATTGCCTTCTTTATCACCTTGAAACCTTCTCCTGTGTTTCTGCTTCTCTTGTTAAGCAAAACTCCCTACTTGGACCAACATAACTCAATTTCCATCAGTATGTAAGCACTGCAGTGTCATACTTCACTTAGCTAACAAATCTTAATCTTTTACCTAACCGATGATCTACTGGCATTTATATGCAGCTTTCTAAGTAGTACTGAAGAAACAGAAAGATACACTGTACTCAAACCTCTGTTTCACTGGTTAGCTCTCTTTTTCAAATCTGAAAATCAATACCTTCCCCTATCTCTGCAGATACCCACTTTATATTTTTAATGTAAAACACAGGATATGAGAGGCAAACAGTTCATAATTCCTAGTCTCCTCCTAGCTATACTGTCCTCCTGTTAGGCTCACATATTCTTCAAAAAATTAAACACATACATTGTTTCCACTTACTTGTAACCATACATCTATTACTCAAGTGTCCAATACAGCGCTGATAAAGAAATGTGGACTTTATTCTCATTTTTCTGCTCATTTCGTCTAGTAGTGCCTACCCTCACAATTCAATTAAGACTGCTTTCATCAACATCACTTAATTTTGAACTATCCCAATTACTACTCACTTCCTAATCCTTACCTATTTTATCACATCTGACAAAGCTCACTTGTCTGGTCCTTTTCATGGAAATTCTGCAGCCCACGTCTCCTCTGACCTTTAGCTATGCTTGCTCAACTCTCTTACACATCTCCAGGGGCTATCCCATAAGCATTCCTATCATAATGTATTTGCATAATGCCTTTCTAAGACCATTCTGATTAACTCTTTCATAACCCAACTAAATTGAGTTTACCTTAGAACAGCTTAGAAAAAAAGGCATTGTTATTTTCTACACACTTTAAGGAAGAGGTAGCAACTTTGTGCAAGGCTTCCCTTGGATACAGTTGTAACTCTTCTAACTATACAAAGCCCTGTGCCACTGATAGGTAAATCATCTCAACAGAATGGCTGTAAAACTAATGGTTCTACTGAATAATCAAGTGTACTTTTTGGAGAGGGCACAGACGGCGGCAGTCTTAAGGTCCCATTATGTAGTCCAGGCTGGCCTTGAATTTACTATGTAGCCTAGGCTAGACTCAAACTTATGATCCTTCAGCCCCGCCATACTCAGCATCAGGGATCTTTTAGCCAAGGTGGAAACACAAGAACAAGGACTTAACTTTCACCTGGTTTATTTTACTCTAAAGAATGTGATCTTATCGACTCAACTATAGACAAAGCACAGAATAAATCAAACACTGCTGTAATCCCAGCACTCAGGAGGATGAGGCAGGAGGACTGCTGCAAGTTCAAGATCACCCTGGGCTGCAAACTGAGCTCAAGGCCAGCCTCAACTGCATGGCAAGACCCTGTCTCAAAGACAGACAGACAGACAGACAGACACACACACACACACACACACACACACACACACAGAGAAATCATTTTTCTAATCACATAGATTAGATTCTCTCTGATGAAT